GGCGGGAAGTGGGAGGAGGGGAGTTGTGGGGGGGAAAAAAAGAGGAACAAATGTAACCTGAACAATAAAGATTAAAAAAAAAATAAAAATAAAAATAAAAAAAAGAACACTTCATCTAAACTAAATGTGTAATGACATCGATGGTTGATTTTATCAGTGGAAAATGTAGATTCTTTGTATACTTTTAATGTGTGCCTAACATGATCAAACAGCACAAATGAGAACTCATTTCATTAGAAGGAAGGAAGGGGGTCAAGGTGGATTTGGTGGGTTAACCCATTAACTACGACTCTTGGCTTGCTGAGTTAACAAAGCAGTGCACTCATAATACTACCATTGCAGAAACAATAAGAGTGAGGAATCTATTGAAGAGCATGTATAATAAATGGGTCATAGTCTAATTGATACATTATTTGGGGACCATTTTATCAACAAAATTTCCTTCTTCATTGTTTAGAACAGTGCCTACTAAAGTACATTAATCTGAATGCTAGTCCTCAGAAATGCTGTTAATTAAAACAAAACAAAATGAAACAAAAGTTAAAAAATAGTCTTAGGTCCAAAAAATGTTAGAAAATCACAATGCATATTACTATAGTAAAGTACTTGAGAGGTTCTGTAGTAAAACAATACATTTATGTTTGTTTAAGCCTCTGTTTCCCAAATTTATTTGATTAAAACCATTTCTTCAAAATTGTATGTAATATTTATTATATTCTGCTGAGCTAATGTTCATGGAACAGATTTTTAAAAAATGTTGGGTTAGAGTCTGCTCATGGGTCTAGATATTTGGTCAAAATGAATAGATAATATGGAAACTATACTAACGTATAGCTAATCCCTATATATTTGGCTTTTAATAGGCCTCTAATAATTTTAGAAGTCTATAACATCTCATTCAGCTCCTTCACCCAATCACCCAAATATCTACCCATTCACTCAGTTCATGCTGGGAGCCATATGGGGTCTGTGCTTGGGAGAGGAGTTATGGCTGAAGGGGTAGATTTGAGAGTTTTCTTCTCACATATGTTGACTCATTCAATAGAGTAAATTAGTGTTCAGGGACAGTGTATGCCCTCCAGTGGTCGGCAAACTGCGGCTCGCGAGCCACATGCGGCTCTTTGGTCCCTTGAGTGTGGCTCTTCCTAAGCCTTAGGAGTACCCTAATTAAGTTAATAACAATGTACCTACCTATATGGTCTAAGTTTAAAAAATTTGGCTCTCAAAAGAAATTTCAATCGTTGTACTGTTGATATTTGGCTCTGTTGACTAATGAGTTTGCTGACCACTGGCATAGGGTAATATATGTGTGAGTCTCTCTAAAGTAATTATAAGTATACATTACAGGCATTGAACAATAAGTTAAATTTTATTTTTAGTAAATTCTGCATTTGGGACTAAGCTAACCAGGTTTTGCATAGAAGTCCTGATTTAATAAATTAATAATATCTATATATACATTTCCTATACAATGTTATCCTAGATAGTGTTATTTTCCAGGCATATGAAATTACATTTTTTCATATATAAAAGTATGTACTAAACTGCTTAAAACATCATGTTCTCTTAAACAGGCAAACATTTCCTTTCCAATTTGTTATCATCATTGATCTTATTTATTCAGAGTCATTATACCTCTTGAAAGGGAGGTGAGAAAGCTGGAAATTGGGAATAACCTACATATCCATCAAGAGGAGAATAAATAGATTAAATTAGGATAGATCCATTAGATAAAATAAATACTATAAATCAACAAATTTGTATAAATTATATGACCTATGTTATCTTACAAACATAACATTGAGAAAAATAAAGGAAGGAAAAAAGTAGTAAACATTCAGAATGTTAATCACTTAAGGATTCAGGTATAAAGAATTACACGCACACAACTATTTCTGGGCAAGGGTGAGGGATACAGTCAACTGTATTGGTAATGTTGAAGTTCTTACACTGGTTGAAAGTTGATTGATAGATACAAAAGTATATCTTTCATACTTCATATTTTTCATAGTTAGAACAGTCATACTGCTTTCTTGTGTAGAGCATATTTGAAGAACTTTAAGTCAATTACCTAGCCTGGGAAATATGATAAACAATTGATGCCATGATAGTCATGCTTATATTTGGCCTGATTGACTCATTAATTAAATTAAATGACAATTTTTCTGTCCAAGTCCAGTTAAGAAGTAAGACAGGTATGTGCATTCATGAGCAA